GTGTAGGAGGGTTCCCCCTTCTCTGCATCCTCACCAGCATCTGTCATTTCCTGATTTGTTAATTTTAGCCATTCTGGGGGGGGAGGAGTCAAGATGGCGGAGAAGTAGCAGCTGAGACTACTTCAGGTTGCAGGAGATCAGCTAGATAGCTTATCTAAAGATTGCAATCACCTACAAATCCAATGGAAGATCGAAGAGAAGAACAGCAATTCTAGAAACAGAAAATCAACCACTTTCTGAAAGGTAGGACTGGCGGAGAAGTGAATCCAAAGGGACGGGAAGATAGACCCCGGGGGGAGGGGCCGGCTCCCGGCAAGCAGCGGAGCAATGGAGCACAAAATCAGGACTTTTAAAAGTCTGTTCCGCTGAGGGACATCGCCCCAGAGGCTTAACTGAGGTGAAGCCCACGTGGGGCCAGTGTGGCCTCAGGTCCCGCAGGGTCACAGAAGGATCGGGGGTGTCTGAGTGTCGCAGAGCTTGCAGGTATTAGAACGGGGAAGCCGGCTACAGAGACGGAGCCGAGGAGTGAGCTCTAAGCTCGGGCTTACCTTGAACCGGTCGCAGGCTCGGTGAGCTCAGAGCGCGGCCGGAGGCCAGGGTGACGGGAGTAATTGGGCGCTGTTCTCTGAGGGCGCACTGAGGAGTGGGGCCCGGGACTCTCAGCTCCTCCGGGCCGGAGACTGGGAGGCCGCCATCCTCCGGAACTCTACGGAAAGCGCTCAGGGAACAAAAGCTCCCGAAAGCAAACCTGAGCGGATTACTCAGCCCGGCCTCTGGTAAGGGCGGTGCAACTCCGCCTGGGGCAAAGACACTTGAGAATCACTACAACAGGCCCCTCCCCCAGAAGATCAACAAGAAACCCAGCCAGGACCAAGTTCACTTACGAGGAGTGCAGTTTCAATACCAAGGAGAGCAGCAGAATTCCAGAGGAGGAGAAAGCAAAGCACGGAACTCATGGCTTTCTCCCCATGATTCTTTAGCCTTGCAGTTAATTTAAATTTTTTTTTTCTTTTCAATTTTTTTCTCTTCTTCTGCTAAATGTTTTTAACTTTTACCCTTTTCTTTTTTAACGTTTTTTAACTAGTTTATCTAATATATATATATTTTTTTCCTTTTTATATTTTTTTCATTATTGGTTTTCTTTTTTTATTTGTTTCTTTTTTCTTTTTTTTTTTTTTTTTTCTTTCTGAACCTCTTTTTATCCCCTTCCCCCCCCCTCATGATTTGGGATCTCTTCTGATTTGGCTAAAGCATATTTTCCTGGGGTTGTTGCCACCCTTTTAGTATTTTACTTACTCCTTCATATACTCTTATCTGGACAAAATGACAAGGCGGAAAAATTCACCACAAAAAAAAGAACAAGAGGCAGTACCAAAGGCTAGGGACCTAATCAATACAGACATTGGTAATATGTCAGATCTAGAGTTCAGAATGACGATTCTCAAGGTTCTAGCTGGGCTCGAAAAAGGCATGGAAGATATTAGAGAAACCCTCTCGGGAGATATAAAAGCCCTTTCTGGAGAAATAAAAGAACTAAAATCTAATCAAGTTGAAATCAAAAAAGCTATTAATGAGGTGCAATTTTAGCCATTCTGACTGGTGTGAGGTGGTATCTCATGGTTTTGATTTGTATTTCCCTGATGCCGAGTGATGTGGAGCATTTTTTTCATGTGTCTGTTGGCCATCTGGATGTCTTCTTTGCAGAAATGTCTGTTCATGTCCTCTGCCCATTTCTTGATTGGAATATTTGTTCTTTGGGTGTTGAGTTTGCTGAGCCCTTTATAGATTTTGGATACTAGCCCTTTATCTGATATGTCGTTGGCAAATATCTTCTCCCATTCTGTCAGTTGTCTTTTGGTTTTGTTAACTGTTTCCTTTGCTGTGCAAAAGCTTTTGATCTTGATGAAATCCCAATAGTTCATTTTTGCCTTTGTTTCCCTTGCCTTTGGCGATGTTCCTAGGAAGAAGTTGTTGCGGCTGAGGTCGAAGAGGTTGCTGCCTGTGTTCTCCTCAAGGATTTTGATGGATTCCTTTCTCACATTGAGGTCCTTCACCCATTTTGAGTCTATTTTCATGCGTGGTATAAGGAAATGGTCCAATTTCATTTTACTGCATGTGGCTATCCAATTTTCCCAACACCATTTGTTGAAGAGGCTGTCTTTTTTCTATTGGACATTCCTTCCTGCTTTGTCAAAGATTAGTTGACCATAGAGTTGAGGGTCTATTTCTGGGGGCTATCTATTCTGTTCCATTGATCTATGTGTCTGTTTTTGTGCCAGTACCATGCTGTCTTGATGATGACAGCTTTGTAATAGAGCTTGAAGTCTGGAATTGTGATGCCACCAACTTTGGTTTTCTTTTTCAATATTCCTTTGGCTATTCGAGGTCTTTTCTGGTTCCATATAAATTTTAGGATTATTTGTTCCATTTCTTTGGAAAAAATCAAAGCGATTTTGATAGGGATTGCATTATATGTGTAGATTACTTGAGGTAGCATAGACATTTTCACAATATTTGTTCTTCTAATCCATGAGCATGGAACATTTTTCCATTTCTTTGTGTCTTCCTCAATTTCTTTCATGAGTACTTTTTAGTTTTCCAAGTATAGATTCTTAGCCTCTTGGGTTAGGTTTATTCCTAGGTATCTTATGGTTTTGGGTGCAATTGTAAATGGATTGACTCCTTAATTTCACTTTCTTCTCTCTTGTTGTTGATGTAAAGAAATGCAACTGCATCAACTGAGAGGACCATGTGGTTCTTCTCTCTTCTCCTATTGATTAGTTCTATCACATTGATTGATTTGTGAATGTTTAACCATCCTTGCAACCCAGGGGTGAATCCCACCTGGTCATGGTGGATAACCTTTTTAATGTGCTGTTGGATCCTGTTTGCTAGGATCTTGTTGAGAACCTTAGCATCCATATTCATCAGTGATGTTGGTCTGAAATTCTCCTTTTTGGTGGGGTCTTTGCCTGGTCTGGGGATCAGGGTAATGCTGGCTTTATAAAGATTCTGGAAGTTTTCCTTCTGTTTCCATTTTTTGAAACAGCTTCAGGAGATTAGGTGTTATTTCTTCTCTGAAAGTTTGGTTGAATTCTCCAGGGACTCCATCAGGTCCTGGGCTCTTGTTTTTTGGGAGGTTTTTGATCACTGCTTCAATCTCGTTACTAGATATCGGTTTATTCAGGTTGTCCATTTCTTCCTGGTTCAATTTTGGGAGTTTATAGCTTTCCAGGAATGCATCCATTTCATCTAGGTTGCTTAACTTATTGGCATATTACTGTTGATAATAACTTCTGATGATTGTTTCTACTTCCTTGGTGTTAGATGTGATCTCCCCCTTTTCATTCATAATTTTATTAATTTGAGCTTTCTCTCTTTTCTTTTGGATGAGGGTGGCCAATGGCTTATCGATCTTATTCTTTCAAAAAACCAGCTTGTAGTTCCATTGATGCGTTCTACTGTATCTCTAGTTTTGACATCAGTGATCTCTGCTTTAATCATGATTATTTCCCTTCTTGTGTATGCAGTTGGCTTAATTTGTTGTTGATTCTCCAGTTCTTTAAGTTGTAGAGACAGCTGGTGTATTCTGGATTTTTCAATTTTTTTGAGGGAGACTTGGATGGTTATGTATTTCCCCCTTAGGACCGCCTTTGCTGTATCCCATAGGTTTTGGACCAAAGTGTCTTCATTCTCATTGGTTTCCATGAATTGTTTCAGTTCTTCTTTGATCTCCTGGTTGATCCAAGCATTCTTAAGCAAGGTGGTCTTTAGCTTCCCGGTGTTTGAGTTCTTTCCAAACTTTTCCTTGTGATTGAGCTCTAGTTTCAAAGCATTGTGATCTGAGAATATGTAGGGAATAATCTCAATCTTTTGGTATTGGTTGAGTCCTGATTTGTGACCTAGTATGTGGTCTATTCTTGAGAAGGTTCCATGTGCACTTGAGAAGAATGAGTATTCTGTTGTTTTAAGGAATGTTCTGTATATATCTATGAGGTCCATCTGGTCCAATGTGTCATCCAATGCTCTTGTTTCTTTATTGATTTTCTGCTTTGATGATCTATTTTTGAGAGGGGCGTGTTAAGATCTTGTACTATTAATTTATTCATATCAATATGACTCTTTATCTTATTAACAGTTTTCTTATGTAATCGGCTGCTCCCATGTTGGGGGCATAGATATTTACAATTGTTAGATCATCTTGGTGGATAGACCCTTTAAGAATTATGTAGTGGCGGGGCACCTGGGTGGCTCAGTGGGTTAAAGCCTCTGCCTTCAGCTCAGGTCATGATCCCAGGGTCCTGGGATCAAGCTCCACATTGGGCTATCTACTCTTTTGGGTTTTCCTATAAAGAATCATGTCATCTGTGAAGAGAGAGAGTTTGACTTCTTCATTGCCAATTTGGATACCTTTTATTTCTCTTTGTTGTCTGATTGCTGTTGCTAGGACTTCTAATACTATGTTGAACAAGAGTGGTGAGAGTGGGCATCCTTGTCGTGTTCCTGATCTCAATGGGAAGGCTGCAAGCTTTTTCCCATTGAGGATGATATTTGCTGTGGGTTTTTCATAGATAGATTTGATGAAGTTCAGGAATGTTCCCTCTATCCCTATACTTTGAAGCGTTTTAATCAGGAATCGATGCTGGATTTTGTCAAATGCTTTTTCTGCATCAATTGAGAGGACCATATGGTTCTTCTCTCTTTTCTTACTAATTTTTCTATCACATTGATTGATTTGTGAATGTTGAACCATCCTTGTAGCCCAGGAATGAATCCCACCTGGTCATGGTGGACAATCTTTTTAATGTGCTGTTGGATCCTGTTTGCTAGGATCTTGTTGAGAATCTTAGCATCCATATTCATCAGTGATATTGGTCTGAAATTCTCCTTTTTGGTGGGGTCTTTGCCTGGTTTGGGGATCAGGGTAATGCTGGTTTCATAGAAAGAGTCTGGAAGTTTTCCTTTTGCTTCCATTTTTTGAAACAGCGTCAGGAAAATAGGTGGGTTTGATAAGACAAGGCTATGCCTGCGACAGTAAGACCCGGGGAAGAGCAGGGCGGGGGGCCAAGGCCGGCATCTCTATTCTCACATGCCTTCATCTGCAGGGGCTCCTGCAACAAAGCACACAGCGGGGGTGGGGGGTAGAAACACAGACGTGTCGCTCACAGGCCAGAAGTCTGGTTCTGGTGTGAGCGGTCTTCAGGGGGGCAGAGCACGGACTTTTGCCTGTGCCCCCACAGGATGAAGGGGCCCCCCTCATCAGAGCATTCATCCCAAGCATGAGGGCTCTGCCCACGGCTCCCCAGCGCCTCCCATGGACGGGCCCCACCTCCGAACTTCACTGCACTGGGGGCTACAATGTCAACATAGGGATTTCAGGGGGGACACAGACATTCAGTCCATCGCAATACATTATTAAGCAAACATTCTGTTGTCTCTGAATTGCAGAAGCATGGCAGGAAAGGGATCCCTTTGCTATGGCAGGAAAGGGATTCCTGTTGCATTTTGGAAAGATTGGACCCTTGGCCGTTGGGAATGTTGGGGGGACCATGACACTGTGAGACGGCAGCCTTTGCGGCCTGTGCGTGCTGTCCCCGGGAGCCCTGCTGTGCAGCCTGCAGGCAGGGCCACATCTTTTAAGAACACGCATTTAGGAATATTTTGTTCCCTGTAACACCGCTAGAGCACGAAGACCAGATTCAGGAGTTCATGCAGCAGGAAACGGGCGCTATCCGTGAGCTGTAGCTGCTTTACCCGACTCATTCAATCTACTGTAAATATTACTGTCAGGGAGCAAAGTGCTTTTGGAAATATCGGACAGTGGGTCACTGTGCTCTAGGACAAGGAATGAGGGAAACTTCTAGGCAACAGACCCTGTGCCGTGGCGGGTTCCCTTGCCAGCGTTGTCCAGCGCTCACTGCAGGACACGGTGCTGAGTAGGACAACTTTCCTGCCTTCAGCGCTGCCACCGTCACAGCCCCCTTCACCATAAATGCAACCTGGTGCATGAGACAAAACGGGATCTAAAATGGGGAATTCGGGGCTTATAATATCCTCCCAGGGCAGGGTGAGGGGGCAGGCTCTGAGCAGAGTGCTTCAGCGGCTCTCCGGGTCAGAAAAGAGGTCGGGATCGGGAAGCGGCCACCACGGCGGCACTCCCCGCGCCCGCTGCTTCTGCCAGGATCAGGAAAGGCCCTGCCCTGTCGGCAGCCCCAGGACACCCACAGAATAAAGCCTCCGTACTGCAGCTGGCACCTCACCCCCATCCAGGCAGGGTCCACGCAGTCCAGCGGGTGGTCAGCAGCCGGCACTGCTCCCAGCCAGCCTGCTCAGCTCAGTCTCACAGGAAGCCCTCTTGTCCTCTTGCTGGTGGAACTTCCAGCGGGCCCGGCTCCACTGCAAGGGAGGCTGGAAGTGCAACTGTCAGCGTGCTGATGCTCCGAGAGCGGACCAAACTGCAGAGGAGGGTGAGGGAGGGAAACCATGTGTCTCCTGCTGTCACGTCTCTTTATTCCCTCCAAAAAGCATGTGGGTTCTCATGTCACACAACCTGTGTAGAAAAGGCTCCCACAGCTTGTCCAGCGCCTTCCCAGCAGAAGAAAGGTGCCCTCTGTCTAGACACACCGGCAGCCATGGGAACAGCCTATGAAGGCCGTGTCTGGGTAAGTGTCGATATTTGGGGTTTAGATGACCTTTCGTTAAGTTTATCAATCACCTCGCACTCTGTAAGCACATTCGGAAAAAAAAATTATATATATATATATATATATATATATATATATATATATATATTCTATAACAGATTATGCAGTGCAAATTGTGTGCAAATGAACATTTTTGCATCCTGAGAAGACAGTTTGAGAACAAAATTCAGTTGTCCCCAGTAGGATATTATTTTTTTTAAAGATTTTATTTATTTGACAGAAAGATCACAAGTAGGCAGAGAGGCAGAGAGGGGTGGGGGGAGCAGGCTCTCCACTGAGCAGAGAGCCTGATGTGGGGCTCGATCCCAGGACCCTGAGATCATGACCTGAGCCGAAGGCAGATGCTTTAACCCACTGAGCCACCCAGGAACCCCGTCAGTACGATATTTTTAAATGTCTCAAAGTTTTCTGTTCAAACCTCACCCTGTGATGCATAAATGTTGGAAACTAGTGATGGAACTTTGAATTCCAGTCCACAATTACAAATTTTAAAACTAAAAGTAAAATAACTTTTTTGATGAATATTTAAAATCGAATTGAATTTGAGGCATGGTGTTACTAAGTTTGAATTTAATGTTGCCACGGACAAAGAAATTATTTGACTATATCGCTGGTGTGAACTGAAACGGTGCCAGTCATATGTTAGAAGAGACACTTAGTCTTCACAGGAATCCCCTGTTGTTTTGAAATTTCAATCTACAGCTCTGTCCCACATCTTTAATAAGAAAAGTGACAGATTTATAACGTTTATTATTTTAATTGTGTGTGTAATAATTGGATAGCATGTGATGCTTCAGCTCATACCGTTTTTATTTGTTGATGTTTTTAAATCCAAACTAAAGATCCCAAAGAAGGCAGGGGCGAGGAAGGGATGGCAGAGAGCCCTGGCGGTCGTCTGTGACTTCAAGCTCTTCCTGTACAACGTGGATGAAGAAAAAGACTCCAAACCCAACGTTGTCATGAGTCAAGTGATTGACATGAGGTAAACTTTGAAAGAGAGAATTTTTTAATTAAAAAAATGGGAATAAAAATGGCTTCTGATATTTTCTTTAAAAAATGTTGTCATTAACATTTAACTTTATGTTAAACTTCCTAATTTTCTCCATTGCCATGTAAATTTCAAAACAGAAGATTTTTGCCAAAGTTTACATCACCAGCCCTAAGGTATGGATCATAATTCACTGTGGTATCTGTAAGGTTTTTACTCAGAAGTTATCTTCTTAGTGTGTGTGTGTGTGTGTGTGTGCGCGCGTGTGCACGCGTGTGGCAAGGGAAGAGACAGCATCTCAGAACCAGACACTTCCTGTGAGATATAATTCACACACCATAAATGTCACTGTTTTAAAGTGTGCCATTCGCTGGTTTTCCCTTGTTCACAAGCTCGTACAACCACCACCACCATCTAATTTTAGAGCATTTTTGTCAGGCCAAAAACAAACCATATTTGCCTTATCTCCATTCTCCCTCGCCCCAAGCCCCCGGCAAGCGGGGAGCTAGTTCTGCATGTCTGGATCCGCCGCCCCAGCTATGGCACGTAACTGCAGTCACACGGGCAGCCTGCCGGGCCTCCTGCACTGAGCGTGCTGTCTGCCAGCCTCCTCCACATCGCCTGTAGCCTATTTCATTACTTCTCATGGCTTACGCCCTTCTTCGGGTTGAGGAAATTCCCTTTTATTTCTAGTTTGTTAACTGTTTTTATCAGGTGTTGGGTTTGGGCAAATTCTTTTGCTGTGACTGTCGAGGGGATCATATGGTCCCTCCTTCATTAGCATGTTGTATTACACTGATTTTTTTTAGAATACAGAACCTACCTTACATTCCTGGGATAAATCCCACTTGGTTATGGTGTGGGAAAAAATAGGAATATCCTTTTTACACGCTGCTGGATTGGATTTTCTGGAATTTATTGAGGATTTTTCTGTCTGTATTAATACAGAATATTGGTCTATAGTTTTCTTTCATTAGATATTTTTGCCTGGCTTTGGTGTTAGAGTAATAATGGCCTCAGAATGAGTTGGAAAGTACTCTTTCCCCTCTTATTATTTTGGAAGAGTTTGTGAAGGGTTGGTATTAAATATGTTTGGTAGAATTCACCAACAGAGCCATCTGGTCTTGAACTTCTATTAAAGGGAAGTTTTCTGATTCCTCTCTCAGTCCCTATTTGTTATAAATCCACTCAGATTTCCATATCCTCCTAAGTCAGCTTTAATGTTTTGTGTTTCCTAGGAAATTTTCTATTCCTTGAGATTTTCTAATTTTTTTGGCATGTGATTGCTCATAATATTCCCTTACACTTCTTCTAATTTCCGAGAGGGCAGTTAGTTATGTGCCCTCTCTCATTTCTGATTTTAGTAATTTGAATCTTTTCTATTTTTTTTTCTTGGTTTAGCTAAAGCTTACCAATTTTGTTAATCTTCTTAAAGGACCAACTTTTGCTTTTCTTGGTTTTCTCTTCTTTTTCTACATTCTGTTTCTTTAATCCCCACATTCCGTTCTTTGTCACTTCCTCCCTTCTGCTAATTCTGGGTTAGTTTGCTCTTCTTTTTCTAGTTTACTAAGGTGGAAAGTTAGGTTATTGAGTTGAGATACTCAATTATTTCTTTTGTCCCCTTTCGTCCTTTCCCTTGCTTAGGGCTCCCACGATGTGTATCTTAGCACTGTTTATGATGCCCCGCAGGTCTCTGAGGCTCTGTTCGTTTTCCTTCGTTGTTCTTTCTTTCCTTTTCTCAGACTGGATCATACTAATCAGCCCATCTTCAAGGTCAGTGATTTGGTCCTCTGCCTACTCAAAACTGTTTTCAAGCCCCACTAGTGAATTATTCATTTCAATTATTTCACTCTTCAACTTCAGAATTTCTATTTGGTTCCGTTTTTACCATTTCAAATTCGTTATTGATACTTTCTATTTGGTGAGACATCATTCTCATAATTTTTTAAAAAGGTTTTGTTTATTTATGACAGAGACACAGCGAAAGAGGGAACACAAGCAGAGGGAGCTGGAGAGGGAAAAGCAGGCTCCCCGCTGAGCAGAGAGCCCAAGATGCAGGGCTCGATTGCAGGACACTGGGATCATAACCTGAGTCAAAGACAGACACTTAATGACTGAGCCACCCAGGCATTCCACATCCTTATAATTTTCTTTAGTTCTTTAGCTATGGCTTCCTTTAGGTCTTCAAACATATTCAAAATGGATGACTTAAATCTTTGTTCAATAAATTCAACATCTGGGTTTCCTGGGGAACAGTTTCTACTGGCTATGTTTTTCCTCTGTATTTTTCATACTTTTGTGTTTCTTTCCATGTCTTACAAATTTTTCTTAAAAACGTGGACATTTTGGGGCGCCTGGGTGGCTCAGTGGGTTAAGCCTCTGCCCTCAGCTCAGGTCATGGTCTCAGGGTTCTGGGATTGAGCCCCCCTTCAGGCTCTCTGCCTGCTCCCTGCCCTTCTCTCTCTGTCTGCTTCTCTGCCTGCTTGTGATCTCTGTCAAATAAATAAATAAAATCTTTTAAAAAAAAAACCACCCAAACCCTGGACATTTCAAATAATGAAACTGGCAGCTCTGGTAATCAAATCCCACCTCCTCTCCAGGATTTGTTGATGATGTTACTTGTAATTGTTGTTTGTTTCTTTGGTGACTTTTCTGAACTCATCTGTAAAGTCTTTACTCTTCGTCCTATGAGGTCACTGAAGTCTCTACTTCGTTAGCTTAGTGGCCAGCTAATGATCATACAGAGTTTTTTTTTTTTAAGCATCTGGACGGGGTATATCTCCCAGTCTTTGCCAAAGAGCTTGTGTGCAAATTTGGCCGCTCCCTCAGCACTCAGCCAGGCAGCTGACAACACTGTCTTAGCCTTACTTTCTACCCATGCAAGTCCTCAAGAACAAGGGAAGAAGTAGTAGGTGGAAACTCCCCCAATTTAATATAAAACATTAATCTACACATCCACGTCAGCAAGAAGGGGGCACTTAGGGCCTTCTCAGGTCTTTCCTGAGAACAGCACAGCTCCAGGAACGTTCACAGGCCTGTACATGTGCATCGACTCCTCGATTCCTAGCCGCATGCCCGGGCTGCTCAAAGGCCCTATGGACATCTCACATCCTATGTTATCTTTTCAACATTTGTGACTTATCTCTTTTATTTCATGCCAAGCATCAAAAATCAAACTGACCAGTGAGGGCTGTCTCTTACGAAAAGACAACGATGATGATCCCGACAAGGTCACTCCCAAGAAGGCCGCTGCTGATGAGGTCGCTCCCTGGACAGGACCGCTCCCAAGAAGAGGCCACTCTGGAGGAAGCTGCTCCTAGGACGAGGCCGCTCCCAATGATGAAGAGGCGATGACGACAGCAACGATGACAAGGAGGACAACACTGATGACACAGACTCTGCTCCCCATGACACCACTCTGACAAGGCTGCTCCCCAGAGGAGGCCACTGCTCCGGACAAGGCTGCTCACCGACGAGGCCACTCCCCAGTCGAGACCGCTGCTAATGAGGTCGCTCCCTGGACAGGGCTGCTCCCTGGACAGGGCTGCTCCTCAGACAGGGACTGCTCCAGCGAGGCTGCTCCCTGGACAAGGCTGCTCCGGCGAGGCTGCTCTGGAGGAAGCCTCTTCCCCGACGATGCTGCTTCCGCAGGGCCACTCACCGAGGAGGCCTCTTCCCACATGAAACTACTCCCCGGAATGACGCAGCTCTGGCGAGGCAGCGGCTCAGGGTTCGCAGCGAGGTTGCTGGCGTCTAGGCCATTCCCCGTGGCGCCGCTGCCGAGGGTCGTGGTGTGTAGGCGGGGCCGCTGGCGTCTCGGTGGTGGTGAGGCTGCTGGTGTCTCAGGGCCGCTGGGACCGCTGGTGGCTCAGGGCCACTGGGACCGCTGCCGTAGTGGCTGCTGGTGGCTTGGGGCCGCTGGCGGCTCTTATAGCTCTGACAAGAGCTGTTACAACTCCCACAGCTCTTACAAGAGCTGTTACAGCTCTCCTTCTTCTGCTCCCGCCAACTCTCCTTCTGCTCCCGCTGACTCTCCTTCTGCTCCCACCAACTATCCTTCTGCTTCCTTCTTCTTCCTCTGACAGCTCTCCTTTTTTTCTCTTGACAGCCTCGCAGACCAACCTTTATGGGGGTGGTTGAGACCCGCCCCTACACAGGCGGCCAATTGAATCCCAATTCATCCCAGTGGATATATGTGTGCCCCACTGATTGGACATCTCCACCCGGCCTGCCCTGCCCCTACATCTGGGGTCCACAAGCCAGTTCCTCTGGGAGGGGAAGGCCCTTACATTCCCCGCTTTTCTTTAGAGATTAGTCACAACCTTGACTTCTCAGCTAGTTCTATGTTATATTGAGCATGTGAGACTAACATTTTATAGATCCTGGATATCAATCTTTTGTCTGTACTGTCATTTGCAAATATCTTCTCTCATTCCGTGAGTTGCCTCTTTGTTTTCTTGACTGTTTCCTTTGCTGTGCAGAAGCTTTTGATTTTGATGAAGTCCCAAAAGTTTATTTTGGCTTTTGTTTCCTTTGCCTTTGGAGACATATCTTGAAAGAAGTTGCTGTGGCTGATATCGAAGAGATTACTGCCTATGTTCTCCTCTAGGATTCTGATGGATTCCTGTCTCATGTTGAGGTCTTTTATCCATTTTGAGTTTATCTTTGTGTACGGTGTAAGAGAATGGTCGAGTTTCATTCTCCTACATATAGCTGCCCAGTTTTCCCAGCACCATTTATTGAAGAGACTGTCTTTTTTCCACTGTATATTTTTTCCTGTTTTGTCGAAGATTATTTGACCATAGAGTTGAGGGTCCATATATGGGCTCTCTACTCTGTTCCACTGGTCTATGTGTCTGTTTTTATGCCAGTACCATGCTGTCTTGGTGATCACAGCTTTGTAGTAAAGCTTGAAATCAGGTAACGTGATGCCTCCAGTTTTATTTTTGTTTTTCAACATTTCCTTAGCGATTCGGGGTCTCTCCTGGTTCCAT